TTTGGACCTTTCCTCTATGTCTCATCCACCTCTCGCCCTTTTCGTTTCGTGAAACATCTACCTGGATTATTAGACAACATATCGGCGAAGCCGAATATAAAGCGAACAAATAGTACCGGTGCCAACAGCACAATATGCAGGTGTCGAGTCTTGCATCTGTGAAGACTATACTGACCGAGATTCGTTTAAGTTGTGTCAGGATATTGTAGATTCCTCCATGTGAAGAAGGGTATCATTCGCCGGACCACGAAAAGCCCAAGCAATTACGTACATGCTCAATTAATCCAACGTATGTTTCTCAGTTCCAAAATAAACCACCAATATTCTCAACTCGCTGTCACTGAATGCTGTGTATATTGAAGCGGATATTTGTACGCCGACGCTTCTGTCCTACGTCACGTCGTTGTATCTATTCCATGAGAGCCTGGTCCTCTGCCCTATGTTTATTGTCTCGCGTTGCTACCATGCAATTCATTTTGCGCGTGCGTATGAGTAGGAACACTCATTCTAGAGTCCAACTCGTATCGGGTATCGCTTGGAGCTTCGTATACTGGGTTCGCGTTGGCCTCAGCAGCATGCGCATGCGGTTGCATATGACCTAGTACTTTGGACTCCTGTCCGTAGTGATCGTTCGCTGGTGTGGAGGAACTAATGGTGGAAGCGTTCACAGTTCCCGGGCTCATCTTTCCAACGGTGCTGCCGTCATGTCCAAGCTCGTAGCGATGGTCATTCGACGGCCCTGATGCGTTTCTGGAGGCCCTTCTTCGGCGCCACCAAAAGAAGAACGCAGCGCCCAAGATTGCAATGACTCCTAAAGAAACACCCACTCCAATACCAGCAGCAGCACCTGGTGAGAGCTCTGCAGATGAGGAAGGGTTAGGGCTTGAGCTCGCGGTGGCAGAACCATCAATAGCTGTAGGGGTCACTACTCCAGCGTTGGTTCCTGTCGCGGTAGGATTCGGTAATGCTGAACTGACGGGAGTTGTCTGTGGGCTGTCAGTACCTTTCAGACCGGACCCACGATTTCAGAAGTAAACATACGCCAGCATAGTAGATGGTGGAGTACGCCCCATCATCAACCGCCTTGGAACTCGTCATGATCCAATGCTGGGCAGGCTGACGTGCTGACACGCCGTTGGTGCCCTCGATCTCACTCGACATGAACAAGTTGGTCCCAGGGTGGACGTCAAGGACATATCCTGTGCCATTGGCAACATTGGTGAACTTGAATGTGCCTTTCTCGTTTTCCCATTCAGTAATGTCCCACTGTTGACTCTCGTCCGACTCCGTTCTTCTCAAGCACCCTCTCGTTCTACTAGGGTGAACCTCCTCTGAGGTCCAGCATACAGAAAGCTGTTTGCCCACGCCGGCCAAGTTCAGCCTTACGAGATATCGTCCCACCTTATCACCAGTAGGTTGAAATTGCCACACTGCGCTCGTTTTGCCGAATACTCTGAGCCCACTACCCGTATCCTGCAGATTCGTCGTGAGAGGGTCCGATACGTTGGCGACACGGCCCTGTGAGATGGCGTACCATGCGTTCGAGTCCAACTTGACTGCCGACATTATGACTGTGTTGTCGGCATGCAGCTGTGGCTAAAGCTCGATTAGAGGTGGGAGATATCGCTGAACTGGTATCGTGCTAGGTTGGTCGGGAGATGAGTGCTCGCAGAACCTTGAGCGAACGAAGCCTTATTCGACGGCAGCAAGATTGAAAGACTTACGAAACCCACAGTAGGGAGGAACGGGTAGAAAGTAAATAGGCTTGCAGGGAGGAGTACAAAGCTGGACCCCAACATTGAATGGGCTGCCACTAGGGTAAGACCATCAGACTGGAGGAGCGGGATGGGAGAGGCGCCCCAAAAGGCAGAATAGTCAAGCTCGTTTGGCGCTCCGCCCCTTGCCGCTCACGACCACGAAATGATTGGAGGATCATCGTCCGGTACGGTGGCTTTGCACTCAAACGGCTTCTCAGTGGCTAACGGGCGCCTGCCTGATGTGCCATGAGTAAACCCGATCAGAACGAGACTGTTGCACACAAGCAACCCAAGCAGCCAAGCTCATCAAAGTTCTCGAGGCAGTGAGACATGCATGGTTTAATTAGTACAGTGTTCTGCAGTGCCCAGCTTTTACCGGTAGGCCACAAGTTTCTCAGAATCCTTCGGGCCCACATCGACAAGTCTCGGCCTGGAAAGTCTTCTGCTTGGCAGCGCTAGGCATCATCCTCCAAGTTCAGCTTGCTTGAAGGGGAAAAGATAGACGCGGTGCTCGTGATATTGAGATAAGGCTTTGGTAGCGCTACAAGGCAAACCAAGCCAAGCTCGTATCAACCGACACATGTTCATAAGAAACTCGGATGGTTTTGTCGACTTGACGTTTCAGAAAGAAAAAAACCCCTTCGATGCCAAACCCCATGGCGGAAAAACAACAGCAAAGTAAACTTTGTTAAGCACGAACTGGAATCGAGAGGCGGGATGTCGACCGACGACTTGGCGGAATCATAATTATAAAACAGTAAGCGCTAGCAGCTCAGCCCCTGCTGCACTCACCTGGGGGCGCAAGTTGCCGTCGTGCCGTCCAAGGTCAGCACAACTCGGTTGCCACTCCTCGCTCGTCTTCGTGACTTGATTGGATCAGATGGGCCTTCGCGTCCATCCCTGGCCGAAGCATCCGCCGATCTACATAAAAGTCCGATGGAAATTTGGGGAGGGTAATTACTCCGTACTCCGTGATGGGTTTTCTGACACAACCATCCACACGATGCTGGTCGTTAGCATTGCGTCAGGTCATCACGTTCACGTATGTTTCGTAGCAACACTTTAAATCTACACAAGCATGGCTGTATGATTTATAAGGTAGTTTGGTCACTTTGTCTTTGCGTAAGGGCAGAGTATACCAACAAATACATGCCATTCGAGTGCGTTGCAAAGTCGAGCAACGCGACTCCGTTGATGCGCGGATAACACATGCACCCCTGGCCAAACCAGCATCCTGTCCGCTCATGCATCGTTTCATTTGGTTTCTCTTGGCTGCTGAGAAATCAACTGCTAGCCTGGCCACTCTGGTGACAAAAAAGATGGCCGCTTTTCCTTAACACTAGCATATGGCAACCGGCCATCTTTTTGTCACCAGAGTGCCTGGGCATTCATAGACAGAAGACCAGGCTAGACGAGCTGACATTGATGGTCCGACAATCGGCAAAGCTATTGCCAATTGTTTTTTCAGCCCGGATATTCAATCTTATCAGGCCCAACTTTGAGCCCCGATGTGACATGCTCCCAAGGAGGCAAGCACATCACCTGGCGGAAGCACTCTGACCCCCTGAAAGTGTCGCGCCTAGGTCCCTTAGAGGCTTAGATTTCATCTCAAAATCGATATTCTAGAGAACGCAAAGCTTGCCGCTGCCATAAGAGACCAGTGCCGGTTTGGTGTGTATAATAGAGGGCATTGGTCGGCGAGATCACGAAGAGCCCAGTCGGAGAATACCGAGTTGATTGACGGGGATCGAGGCACAACTACACGCGCAGGGACAGAGAATTTTCACTGCCTTTGCTATCAATTACAGCAGTAATACAGTCATCAACCTTCTGCTAGAGACTCGCCGTCTCTTTCTAGGTTTCATTAACAGAAGCGCCAAGAATCATCACAGCATTAGAAGTCTGGTATTTAATGGAAACGTGTAGGGCAAATGGTGACTTATGTGGTGTGGTGACCTAAGTAGAGACACCAATGCTTACTAAGGTAACACAAGATGCTTCCCCGATCAGCTCAGTGAAATGCTCTGATCGGTACAAATAGCCATCCTGGTCAGACTATAGCCAAAGGCTTATTCAAGGTGTAAACGCTCCCAAGATTCCTGTTTTATCACGATCGAAGTTAAATCATAGAAAGGTTCTTGCCCGATCAGGGGAAAGATAGGTAGGGAAAATCCAGGTCAAACGTTCATGCTTGGACCTTCTATCTGTCTCCAACTCACCAATGCTTCTAATATTGACGCAAATACCTCGAACAACATTGATAATTCGCTTAATATCATGCGAATTGTCAATGTTTTCCTAGTTAGCGTCGAAAGTAACATAATAACACCATCTCTGCCGCAATATTTCCGGATCAGGCAACAACTGCAGTTGTCGGTTGTAAAGTTTGCTGGAAGGAGCTTTATATAGCTAATCTACGAAGTGCATTTCATCGATCTACAGATATGACGGATGGCGCTGTGTCGGACACCAGAAACTAATGCGGGAGGCCAACCGCTGATATTATACTCTACAGCCCTATCTTAATAATACCCGAAGATTAACTCAGACTTCTAAACCTTAACTTGGGGCACCGGGCCATGAGCCGTGGTCAATTTCCTGATGCAGCTATTGTAATAGCTCCTTTGTACCACATTGTACTTCAACTTCCGTAAACCAGGAGCATATCTACTTAACTCCGGATCATATGTAGTTATTGAACTGCTGTGGAACATCTTACGTTTGCAGTACCTCTATCCTAAGAGGTACTCTTGACCTCTATGGTTTAGGCGTCACGCAGTCAATAAGACAGATACCCATATACCTCCATGGTATATCTTCTTAAACCTTACATTTTGTTGAATATCCAGCATGATGATTTTACTGTATTTATGAATGTTCAATACTGTGTACCTGTGCGATTCCACGGGGGACCGTCCTTTATTAGTACCTCAACGCAGCATCCTACTGCCGGTGAACCTAACTTGGGTCAAGGGTATGCAATAGGTGTGCCATTTGGTTATCTGACTTCATGCAGGCCTAGAGTCAACCCTTCACCTGTGTCATATCCAAAACTTCACAATACTCCTCCCCGAAAAGAGAACATCAGTATTGCTTGCAGATTACTTAAAGGCTCCATCCCACGGTATCTGATGGTCCCAGTTTTCTCTCAGACTCAGTCTTTGCACCTGTACAACTGTGCTGTTGCATGTCTTGTTACCAACTATTTGAACTCAATTTTACTACTGTTTCTCGTCACTCAATATGAAGACCGCTCGTAGCTTCACTTTGTTAGTAACATCTTTTCTGCCCTGTGTCCTAGCAGGGCCTGCTGCCTATGGGGTTTGCCAGGCAGGATGTTCAGCTGTGGTCATGGCGTGTTATGCGGCCGCCGGTGCTACTTGGGGCGCCACACTGGGTCTTACAGCCGCTCCCACGGTCATCGGCTGTAACTTGGCATATGGTACATGCCAGGCAGCTTGTGCCGCGGTGATCCTCGCCCCGACCCCATAAGACGGCAAGGAGTTTGCCGGCCATCGGATAACTGGTATGTCCATTTTGCCCTCTTACAAGCGCTAAGACACGCGATGGGGCTAGTTCCCTCTCGATAGTGATTTAGCGAGTTCTGGCGAACAGCAGGCAGACAAAGCTGATATATAACAAGGCTTCCTGGCATGGTGATTGTGTTTGGATGCAGAAATTCTACCGAGATTGAGGCTTTGGTTTGGTAATGAATCAAAATGAAAGGTCTGGCTTTCGAATGGCACCATGGGTCTAACATGGCTTGGTCCACCCCTTGGCGAAAAGAGGGGTATTCGAGGAGCCTGTCATTGAAAGTTATGTGACGCGGCAGTCTCAAAGCTACAAACCAGTGCGGCAGTGCGTAGTTAGAGCAATACGAATCAATGTTGCTTTGCATAAACACAAACAATATATCACGCCCGGCAGCAAAGCCAAAAGAGAAACTTAAGCTGATAGCATGCATATGTCTGAATATGTGCCCTGGCCTGTTCGAAGCCCATGAGTTGTACTGTAGTAGACGTAACAATGTTTCACACTCCTTACGTCGTGAATGGGAACATTGTTTTCAGTTCCACACTCTAAGGTATCGGAACCTGGACCCAGACTCTGAATGATCCCGTCATGCTATCAGCCGCAGAAAACAATTTTAGGATACTCATCTCACCTCATTTTCAGCATATAAGAACAAATTTATCATATGTACATAAGCTGTTGAAACTGCTTATCGAATGGTGGCCTGGTTGAGAATGAGATCACATGCGCAGTGTTGAGGTGCTATATGCTATTGATGGGTAAGAGCGAAAGGTATATCCTGGAATGCCTATAAAACATTGGCACGTTAAAATGACAGTATCCATTGGTCAACATAGTACAGAAATATAAATTCAGGAGCACTCATCAATCAATCGCCGGCGAACAGCATCGGATGCCAGCTCGACTGGTTGAGTTCCCTGACCGCGACAATCACATATGATAATATCCCCTGATCCCTTTTCTCATCTTACAAGAAAGCTTGCAGCCTTACTTAATATTTATAAAATAGACTAGTATGTCTACCTACCTTGGCTAGTATGTGCAGGATGATTACCATGTTCTGACTATAGTTCACCCCGGACGAGGTTACGTACTAAAACATGCAGAGACAATGCCGATCTCTAAGCTATCTCATATTTCGGTAATTCTCCCGAAAGTGGTTTCTCTCCAATACTAACATCGTTTGAATTCCCCGTTGTTCGAACGGCGGCGGTTTGGACTTTGTCACTAAAGCCCTGCCCACTGGATCCACCAATTAGTCGAGGGCAAGGCCATTTACGGTCATCGACAGCCTCAATGACTAACTAATGACTAACTGAATTGCGAGCATCTGACGCAACAGAGACATTACTCTCAAGATTAGCATTTTCTATGAGTTGAGATTTATTTTTCTTAGTTACGTTTAATTGTTATTCACGAGCTGTGCTGTGTGCTCGTTCTGTCCAAACGGTGATTACACCAGCAAGGTTGAAGATCCCATGACTGACTACTATGCGCTAACTCGGCCCACTTACCGATCGAGCTGCAGGCTTGAAAGGGTTGTGACATATGGCGCTGTGACGATCGCCTGTTGACCGATAGCATCCTCAAACTTTGTAGCAATTGTGATCTATTCCTCAAGGAGCTTCTACTCCGTCTAATAGCTTCGGTAGTTGAAACACTGTGTCTTGTTCCCTCCCAATCTGGTCATATCTCCACATATGCTTTGCGCCTTGTAAGCCTTGTCATATTGACCACTTCTAGAACATCCTCTGATTTCTTCACGGACCAAAACTTGAATCATTAGGAGGACCAAGAGCACCTTGCTGCCACTCAAGTTGCTCTCGCTGAGGCCGGGCCCAGTATATGGGGTCTTTGTTGCAAGGTTTATTGACTGAAGATCAGTGGGGATAGCTCAGGTGGTATCAGTGCCTTGTGCCCAGGTGTCAGGACGATCATTGGGGCCAAACCGGGGCTCTGCGAGCTGCTGTTTAGGCTGGCAACCAGATCTGTTTCTGCAATTGAGGGGTGAGTTATACGGTTGAAAGCCCTATCTCTATATTATTGTTAGGAAACATATTCTACCTGCGGCATGAAAAAAGGACGGTATTCTCCCCTGTGGTCGGTGGAATTGAATATCCTGCCTGGACAATCTAACTAAAAACAAAAACTTATGCCTTTGCCGGTGCAAGGTCACTATGCGGGATGGAGCCAGGATATGGCAACATCATGATCTAGCGCCGTCTCAGTCTCAAATACGGTGGCCCATGCTCGACTCAAGAGAGACAAGCTTATACTTTGGCCACTTTGATTGGCGCCCAGGTACCCCAGACAGCCTCGTAAGTTCTAGTATCAGCTTCGTCGACGCCCGGACGACTTGTGCAGTGATGCGACATGCTAGCAAGCTTCTGCCGGTATTACCTGTCAAGCAAATGATGCCAGCGGAAAGAAGGGGAGTGGTTGGAATACAAATCTTGGCCGTTGGAAGGTTAATATTAGGCTTAAAGAATCTCCTTTTTTGATGCTATACTCATTGACCTTTAAACCACTCCTTTATCATTGCATGGTAATCCTATCATTCCGTCAAAGGCCCGGCAATATTCTCTGACATTCTTTTTCTTTTGGTAGACTGGACGAAACCAGAAACTTTGCAGCCTTTGGTCTTTTATGCAAAGTAACCGCCATTCCCAGACCACGTTATAAACTGAGTACACCATGAGGTTTCCGCCAGCCACTGTGATGCTCACATGGCCTTCTCCCAATCATGTTGACCCCATTGAGCGGGGCCCGGCGCTCATCATCGTCGAGCTGACCTCGTTGAGCATTGCGCTTTTTGTCCTGTGCTTGCGACTGTACGTCAGATTCTTCATCATCCGAAGAAGCTGGTGGGATGATTGGCTTATGATTGTTGCCTCTGTGAGTATGGAGGCAGATCCGATTGGTCGGAGACTGAACTGAAAGGGTTTGATAACAGATGTTCTGTATATTCGTCACAATGTGCATCATCCTTGGTATGGCTTTTACACCGCTTCTGATTACAATTCCGAATTTGATGCAGGACAGCTGACGGCATAGCACGCAATTAGCGACACAATTATATGGATGGAAATTACATATTTGGGACTTGACTCCTATCCAGATGAGACGAGGTCGTCAGGTAAGGGCCATCCTATTTTAAGCAACTCAGATGACTGGTTCACTGACTGATGGTGATGCGATAGATATCCATTGCTGCACAAACTCTCTTTCTTTTTGCATCATCACTATCAAAACTCTCGATACTTGTCAGTTATTTGCGGATAGCTCCTCTTGGCTCATCATTCCGACGGTTAACGTGGACGGCCATTGCTGCCATCTTCGCCTTGTTATCGGTTTTCCTTGTTGTGCTGTGGACACAGTGCATGTAAGTTGCAAGCCTGTTTTCTGCCGCACCTTTGTACAGACGTTTAACACCGTATAGACCGGCTTGGCATTATTGGGACCTCTTTGTGGAAAACCGAAAGTGCCTGGATGAATGGCCGCCCCTAGCTGCTCAAAGTGTTTCAACAGTGGTGATTGACGTTATCGTTTACATTATACCTATACCGACACTATTCCGATTGAAACTTCCTGCAGCGCAGAGACTTGTCCTCATGTTTCTCTTTAGCCTCGGCACAGTTGTTGTCGTGGCTGGAGCCATGAGAACCTATTGGATTCACCACGTCGAAAAGGAAACGTACGATGTTACATGGGAAGGCTTTGAACTTTGGATATGGACAGCTCTTGAAGCCAACCTTGCCGTAGTTTGCGGCTGTGTTCCTGTTCTTCGCCCCCTGTTGCTGTTGACGTCGGATTGCAAATCACCAAATTTGGTGGAGAGATCATCTCCCCCAACGATTGGGTCTGGCGAAAAGGAAAAAGGAAAGCGTGATGACTTGGGATACGATGCGTACGATGCGGGTGAAGACATGCTGAGCCTGGTTAATACAACTTTGTCTACGCCCAGCAATTCGTTCAATACGCCCTTTCAACTATCAAGTCCTGGCTGGTCACCGATTCTAGATGAATGGGCAAGGCGACAGCATCAGAAGCAATTCAGACGTTGAAGACGGAATCGAGGACAGACACGTGATTTTCTGTTTTCACTTGGCAATATAATTTTAATTCTAGTTCAAAGAAGTAAGTAAATAACGTACGGTGTGATTTATCAAGAGGTCATCCGTATGGTACTCTGAGCAGGGTAGTTTGTTTACCTAGTGACTGATTTCCACTTCTCACATGGCTTCAATCGCCACTTTCAATCAACTCATAATTTACTACACAAGAACTGCGGTTGTAATGCAGTCAGCACCATCCCAAAATTTCCAAGATTCCTTTTTTATCTCCAGGCAATCATATGTACACATATGTAATTAAGTGGTACGCTGGGATCAGAAACTGTGATTTGCATTGATCCGCCTTTCGTCACACCACGGAGCCTCTACCTGTTGTGATACCCCCAATTATAGCGCTAATTGTCTACGAGATTTATTTCAGGGACATATTTGGGCTTAGGCCAATGGCAATTGCAAACGGCATGGATGTCCCAGAGAACAGTAGTACTGAGTACTGTGCCAGGATGGAGTTTGGTTTGGCTGCTGATGCCCCCGTGCTAAAGTTGCGCTTTTCCGGAACTGGAAAAAGGGCTTGGTGTGCCTGCCACGTACAAGATGCGGATTCTTAGCAGCGAACAGACTTATGTCGTCAAAGCAACCTACAATGTGCCCTTGGGAAACAGCATCACTAATGTCAAGCGAAGTGGAATTTCTATAGAATCACTGCGTCTTTTAGTCACGCCAAAAGAAAGGAAGGGTATTCGTTTATTACTAGAGTTGAAGGCATTCGCAGAGTAAGCAGGCAACTACCGGGAATACATGGATCC